TTTCATAATGCGCGTAGATCAGCGGTGCGGATGCTTTCAAATCTGCGCCTGATATCCACCGAGTGTCGTCGCGATCGCATGCTTTGAATGTGACCTTATACTGTCGCGGCTTGCTGCCGTACTTGCGATCGGAGATGACGCGGTCAACTTCCTGATGGCCATCCATAGAAGGAGGGTCCTGCGATYGTCGGTCCGGAAAGTCGTCGCTCTTGGCTGGCGTGTAAGTTGCCAGCTTCGAGGCGTGGAAGACCGGATGGACCGTCAGATGCTCTGGAATGTTGATCACAAATAAAGGGTCATCGGGCTCATCGCCCGCGGCTGCTGTCACCGACCAAGGTCCAAACCACTTGGGAAGCAGTTTGCGTGAAACATCCTGTTTTAGTGCAAACTCTTCCACGGAGACCCAAACCAGATCACCGGCGCGGATGGGACATGGTACGCGACGCCTGTTGGCTTGCTGCTGCATGCGGACTTGAGCCTTTTGCATATTTGCGCGGGCTTGAGTCAGCAATTTCCTGTACTTCCGGACGGAAGAGGGAGAGCAGGCAGCGTCAATGTCGGCTGGTCGAGGGAGGAGAAGGTCGGCGAAGATCCGGCCTTTCCGTCCACCGTGGTGCAACTCGAATGGAGTCACGCCGATTGCCGGATGCACCGAAGTGTTGTAGGCAAACTCGATGTCGGGGAGGCGGTCAACCCAATCTTTCTGGTCCGGATGGATCAGCGTACGAAGCATCATTTGAGCGGTCTGATGTGCCCGCTCCGTCTGCCCGTCTGTCTGAAGGTGTCGAGACGAACTTGGTTTCATTGTTGTGCCGGACTCCTGCATGAGACCAGTCCAAAACGCCGACATGAAACGAGTGTCGCGGTCGCTGACAATGTCTTCTGGTACACCGTGGCCACAAATCCAACCAGTGTGCAGGAGGCGTGCCAGCTCGGGAGCCGTGGAGTAGTACTTGCAAGGTAGAAAACGCGCGTACTAACTCAATGGGTCCACAACCGTGAAGATGCCGTCGTGCCCGAGCCGATCGCGAGGAAACGGACCGGTGACGTCCATGGCAATGGAGAGACCGGGTTCCCGTGGGATAGGCATCGGGTGGACTTCGCCGTAGGGATTGCGGTTGCGGGGCTTGCTGCGTTGACAAACTTCGCAAGAGTCGCAATACCGAGTGACATCGGTAATGAGGTCGGGTCATCGGAATCGCTGTCGAAGTCGTGCAATAGTGCGGTTGACTCCGAAATGGCCGGCGAGTCGTGAATCATGGTACTCGCCGAGGAGGCGAGCCCGAAGACGACGGTCGCGTGGGACACATAGTAAGTCCTTGCCTCTCGAGTGGAGGAGCAAGTACCCGTCGGCAATGCGGTAATGGCTGGCCGGCGGGTGATCGGAAGATAGCTGTGCATAGAGCGTGCCGAAGTCCGGATCAGACTGATATGCCCGGATGAAGTGT